ATTTTTTATGGAGCAGTGGAGGCATTGAAAGAGATAAGGAAAAAGCTGATGAAGAAAAACTGGGATTTTGGGGAAAGATACAGGAGAAGGGCATTGGACTATATCGATTGAATGAAGGGGGATGAAAGGCTTTGAGAGCTTTGTCATATTTGACTGCATCTTCAACCACCATTTAGTTAAAGACAATTTACTTTCATTAAACTTCTCATGGTGTACTAGAATCGTTTTCAGTAATAAAAATACAATTTAGAGTATTTGTTAATCTTGATGTCTTAAGTTTTGCTTAATCTTGGTTGTTAATATATATATTAATTTCTTATTGCAGAATATACAGGGTAGGGAACTAAGGATCCTATGATGAAAGTTTTATGTAAGAACCAAAAAGAAGTAAGAAGGGGGCACACTTGGCAGAAACAAAGCTATCATTAATAGAACCATTAGAAAATGGTAGAAGATTACAAAGTCATTCAACTACTGAACATGGTTCGTTAGCAGATAATAAACACCCTAAAATAACAAATCATCAAACGACTAGTCAAACTAAACTAATGGTTCCTTCATAACTACATTGCATTATGTCGCAACGGAAGAAACATCTTGTTCAGTCATCATGGAGAGGTGACTTGTTTTCTGATTCTGCTCGACCGCCTAACGGGAGTAACAATTTCTTCTTCTCCCTGCAGAAACAAAGCACAAATTATGAGAAACAATAAGATGGTGAATGTGTTAAGTTGGAACAAGCAGTATATTATACTCACATGCTTGATTGGAATTTTCTCATATGTTGTAAAACTTCCATAAGATGGTGAACCCATGGAGGAATCAATTGAAGTCAGGGACTCTCTCCTATGGTTCTTCCTGGGCATCTTCTCCTGGCTTTCAGCTTTATCCGATGCCTTCAGTCCTTTCGTGCGATACGATGAGCTCTTTTGGATGTTGCTCATTTCAGAAGGACATGGCTCTCCGATCCAGTTCCAAGAAGAGGGTCCTTCCTGGAAAGTGTGCTCAGTGCTAAATGGCACAGTAGGACTT